CACACATTCTCCATCAATCTACTATTCCAAAATACATGCTTCCAAAATAAAGTGGCTCAAATACACCCTAAAAGCTGAATTGGGTCGATTTGGATTGAAATTCACCGAAGTCAACTTAATTGGTTTTAGTGTTAGTTTTGGTTTCGATTGGAACTTTTGAAAAATTTTACGGACTTTTTTTAAGTGACAACTTCTGTGAATTTCTTAAACTTTTATTGATTTGTAAAAAATTTATTAAAGTCTTTCGTAGACTTCTATAAATTTTATTTTAATTTTTTTTAATAGATTTTTGTAAAATCTAAAATACTGTTGAAAACTTTTATATTTTAATTAAAATTCACTTGGATCTAGTATAATAGTGTGAAGTTCTCGTATACAAGTTGGTGATTTCCACAATTCTCCTTCACTTGCCCATATAATAAAAAATATTTTTGAAAGATATATATGTATGTATGTATGTATGTCATTATTCTTTAATAAAATATAAATAATATAACTTAATGTTCATTATCATCAATATACCCTTTGAAGAGTAAAAAAGAAACTAATATATTCAAATTTAATTATAAATTAATCTTTTTATATAAAATCTCATAAGAAATGGATGAAAAAAGTTAGGAGAATCTTTAGTAACAATTTAATTTTTCCTATAAAATAGAGATAAACAATGGAAATAAATATAATCAATAGAAAAAAAAAGTTTTTAATCATAGCTCTAATATTATAAAAGAAAAAATATAAAAGAAATATTAAAAGAAACATGAAATACATATTAAGCCCCTGTTTGGTACACTTTTTTCAAAACTCATTTTTCAACCACACATTCTCCAATAAAATTATTTTACACGTAAATCGAAAAATTTCTTTAGTTTTTAACCACACATTCTCCAAAATCACTATTTAAAAATACATTTTTTTCCCCTTCAAAATGGGGCTCAAACAAGTGTTTAATTAGTAACCAAATTGTTATGTGAAGTGTCGTTCATTAATTTCTGGAACTCTCTTAATTAGTGACCAAACTGTTATATTGAAAGGTGTTAGTTTTGAGAACCATTTTTAGAAAAAATAAGCGGAAGCAACAAAAAAAAATAATAATTAAATAATACACATATTAACTTAATCAACATGTCATTATGGAAGAGATGAAAATAATACCGCTGATTGCCTATAATGTAAATCTTGAACTCCTTAAAATCGCCAATCTCCCAAAAGCTCCACAATTCTTTCTCGACGTATCTCCGATTACGGGGACGAACGAGTGGACGTTTCGGATTTGGGTTTGATTCACCCACTTACTTTATGGTTCACTTTGTGTTCTCAACACATGAATAAAGAGCTCTTAGAAAAATATTTCACTTAAATTTATGTGTGTTCTTTTCCGAGTATTGACGAGTCTTATTTATAGTTGAAAAATGCAACTTTATTTTAATTTTTTAATTAACAATTTAATTAAAAATCAAAATCACATTTATCAATAGGATGAGGTGGCAACCTATCTATTTTTCTACAAAGGAATGGATTTCTTCTTGTATATTAATATTCCCAACTATTTATCTCATTATATTTCCAACAAACTAAGAATTTGACATTTGCGTCATTACCTAGCACATCAAAAAAAAAACAACTTAATTAATATGAGTCTATTAATTACTCAGAATTAAGATCGATCCATATAGGACCATCATTGATCAAAATTGAATACTCTATGTGAAACCGGATTTTACTTGAGATTCATTATTAATCGTATTCCCGTCCTATATAATCAAATTATATATAAAATGCTTTCATTCCAATAATCATATTATTAACAATCCGGATAAGATTATTTCATTCAGAATGTAATGAACTGCACTAGTGATCATAATTAAAGACCACTACTTTAATTTTAATCACGAACAAATTTAGATTATTCCACTTTAAATATTATCCTCATGTACATAAAACTTATGTACAATATTTAAGTTACATATAAATAATCAAGAGATTTTTGATATTTATAAAACATCTAATCATGCATGCAAAAGATCTTGAAAATTTAAATTCAAATTTTATATCTCTTATGTGGGCCCCAATAACGACTATATTTTTCATTCTCATTCTACAATAATTTGGCTCAAACAGGGCCTAAATGTTTATAACTCATTTATATATTAACGGGCATATATCCCAACAAAAGGTTCCTATGAGCTATATCCGTTTGTATATATATGTGGTCAATGGTCATGTGACACTAATACTAGCTCTTTTACTAAGCTTTGAGAGTGTTTCGACTTGTTTTTACATTGAATTGTGTGTTATTTTTGTTTGTTTAGAACAAACACCGAGTAAGAGAAAACTGAGAAGAAAGAGATAATTCGAAGTGAAAGAAAGCATAATGTGACATAGCCCATTTGTGCATAGCATGTGAGGAAACTAGAGTTCCACGTTTGATGTAGAGATTTTCAATACATATGTAATATACCATTGAAAACAATTCTCGAATAAGGAGTCCAATGCATTTTACAGATCTTGATTGGAGTTTCATGTCAAAAGGTATGCTTGCTTTCGTTGGAGCTGTCTAGATTGTTGGCTGTCACGGGTTCTGTTCTTTTTCAGATTATTAGGGCTATTTTGTCTACTTTTGACATGAACATTAAGCCCTAAACCGAAGCCTAGATATATAAGAACTTACTGAAATTACAGGATGAGAGACTTGGAGTAAAAATACAGACTTCCATCTTGGATTAGCATAAAAATCGAGCGTCTTGGGTTCAAAGAAGGAAGAAGAAGATAATCGAAGATTTTTTGAAGAGATTCAAAAGTCCAGGATTTTCTTCTATTTCTCCTATTACTTGTCCTAAATATTGTCCTTTTTATTCACAGTTCTCATAGAGATATAAAAAATCCATACATAGTAATATGTTCGACTCTATTCGAGGAAGATTGTCGAACAATTTAGGAACATTGAATCATTGATCGTCAATGCAATTAAATATTGTCAATTACATGATTATATAATTAAGGGATAATTGCAGCAAAAGCCCTAAACTTTTGAAACATTAGCAGACTTTTTTCAAATCTTTGATTTGTTGCAGTCATCACCCTTAACATTTCCAAATGTTGCAGGTGAATCCCTTTTGGATAGTTTCCATCCATAATTCTATAAATTGACCAAAAATTTAACTTTGAACATATTTTCAATATTTAAAGAATGGACAAAAGAATAACTTTCCATTTATCACATTAAATAATAATAATAATAAAAAAAACACACACACATACACCGGTGTCTTCTTTCTCCCAACCCTCACCTCACCCACCTCCACTGCAAACTCAAATTCTGTCAGTAGCAACCAACATCTGTTTCTGAGCAATTCTTAGTTTGCTTTATTTTTTATTAACTGGATTAAAAGTGTCTAAAAAATGATTATTCTCGTTATTTTAAGGGTTTTGAGCAATTTTACAGTGTTATATCTTCGGAACTTGTGTTTATATACTCAAATTTCTGAACAAATAGCCTTGTATACGGTCATTTTGAGTGTATTTATTTAGTTTAGATTTTAGTCATTTCAAAAATTTTGCCGGATAATGAATGAATACCCTGCCAACACTTGTGCCCGAATGAAGATGGTCAACTGCATCAGCAACCTAAAATTGGTTTTGGATCGACAGCAACATGTATTACAGAGATTGTGTGGTGGGTTTGGGTTTGCTAATTTGATTTGATTTGAATTTCCTTTTCTTGATTTGGTTTTTCCGTGTTTGCTTAGATGAATCAATGGTGCATATAAGGGCGATATAAGGATTCTTTGAGTTTGCAGTGGAGGTGGTTGGCGTGGATTTTGGGTTTGAGGGGGGGGGGGGGGGGGGGGGTGGGGGTTTTTTTTATTTTTTATTTAATTATTTTATGTAAAAAAGATAAAGATACAATTTTAACATTTTAAAATTGATCAGAACATGGTGAAATTTTAGACTTTTGGTGAACTAACAATCATTTAGATGTTTCCATCCAAATGCCCTCTGCAGCACAAGATTGAAAGGTTTGGGACCAACATGAAATGGTAGAGTCAGCGGTGCTAATGGGCCAAACTGAGCCCAAGCTCTTCGAGCACGAGCCGAGCCCAAGAGCTTGAGTTTTTTTTTTAACTTTTTTGTCCATATCTTTTACAAGCCCATGAGCCGTTAGCAAGCTCGACGAGCCGAGCCTTGCTCGACGAGTTGAATGAACCCCCCCTCGATCGGCTTGGGTTCGGGGTCGGTTCAGTCGCCGAATGAACCCTCCGCTTAGCCTGAAATGAGTCTGAGTCGTCCATGGCCAAATTTCGACGAGCCAAGTAGATTCGATGAGTTATTTGGCTCTTTTACCACTTCTAGGTAAATTAAAAGTTGCAATAATTTGAAATGTTTGAAACCGTCATTGTAATCCTACATTATTAAAAGAGTGAAGGGTGGTGGCACTATTTCTAAGCATCGTTCCCGCCAGCTCCGCCGGCTCGGCTCAGCTCGGCTAAGCCCTTTTTTTTCAATCAAAATGAGCCGATAGACTTTTAAGCCGCTGAACCGGTTTTTTTTTTTTTACGTTTGCTTCAATATTTTAGGTTCTTGATAAGTGTGTAAAAACACACTTATTTGGTACTTTTTTGGATTTAATTAGAAATGAGAAGTTCGATGAGTAAACTGTGACACAGTGTAAGTTGGATGAGTGATGAAACAATGATTTTGTTGATTTGTAATTTTTTAACGGTCGTCAGACGGCATTTAGGAATTTCGTCCGTCACGTCAGCGTCCAAATAGATTTTTTGACAGTAGTGGATGGAGAGGTAGTACAAAGTAAAGTTCCATGAGCAGCATGCGACGATGATATAAGTTAAGAGATTTTTGTAACAATTCGCTCATTCGAATAGGTCTCAAAGATTCTGACATTGAATTCCCCTGAATTTCTTAAACCTCAAAAAGTGTTTCCAATACACCTCCCTTAGTTTTGCCAATTCGCCGCCGAATAGGAGGAAGAATTTGGGAGAATGGCGAGTAATTTGAACCCTAATTGGGCTCAGCTCCTCGAGGCATGTTCTCTAATCTTCTCCCTTGATGCAAATAATGTTATTATATATAGTTGTGTAGTTCACTTTCTGTTAGTCGATTCATCGTATTGATTTGCAGACACTTAAAAGCAATGGCTCCAAGAAATATTTTTCGAAACATTCACAGAGATCGGATGGAGCAACCGAAACGACTGTTTTGGGTATAGCCCAACTCTCTCTCTCTCTCTATTTTTTTTTTTGTTTGATAATTTTTTTCTATTTATTTATGTTCTATGATTTGATTTTTATAGGCAAGCGGAAGGAGAGGTCGAATGAGAATTCTGAAGCTGTAAAACCTAATCCTTTGGTTCCCACTTCCTCTGATTGCAGGTAAGTCACCTTCTTGATCTGTTTGTTTAGTTTTGACACTAAAAAAATGCTTCTCGTTCGTTCGTTCGTTTGTGATTTTAATTCGGATGAATGCAACCCCGAAGATGGACTGACTGACCTCAATTTCTTATTCTGATTTGTATAGGAACCAATGCTATAAAAAGATGAATATAAAAATGTTAACTACTTTGTTGTACTCTAGGACATAACATGAAATTGAGGAAGAATGTGTTTGATGAAGTTAATGTACCCATGATTTTCCAGTTTCCAAACGCGCACACATTGCTTGTCCAGAAGATTTTTCCCTAATTCAGATTTGTCAAAAGTTTATTATTATTATTATTATTTTTTTTTTTGGGATGAAGACAAGAGTGGATAGGAAGGGTAGACGTGATACTTTTTTAACCTGTTCAAATCTTGGCTGCTTATGGCAGTTCTTCTTTATGCTTTGTTTGATATTTATTGCTTTCATACATAGAACTTACCTCACCACGTTCCATGCTTATCAACTACATGACAGTCTCACAGATGCGGTGGCCATGGATTGTGAAATGGTTGGTGTCAGCTCTCTAGGCAACAAGAGTGCCCTTGGACGAGTCACACTGGTAGTTCTCATATTCATCTTCTTCCCAGTCATCTGTTAACTTTACTGTAACATTAAAATACCTTGAGCATTGATTTATTTAGCAAGTAGAATGCACTGAAAATATTTCTCCATGACTCTTAAGCAACGAAATAGATTCTGTTGCTCTCAGATGCTGGAAGAATTGTACTATATCGTGTGTTGTTTCAAGATTTGCTTTTCAAAGTTGTTTGTTATTAATGGCTTTAATATGTTGCAGGTAAATAAATGGGGAAATGTTATATATGATGAGTATGTCCGTCCTTTGGAGCATGTAGTTGACTTCCGTACTAAAATTAGTGGAATTCGACCTCGTGATTTGAAGAAAGGTATGGGCTACCTTTGATGAAATAGATAAAAATCCATTCCCGAATTAAAATGATTTGCTCCACTAGCAGCTTGGGTAAGATGATTAGTGCCTAACATTTGGAAAAGATACTGCAGCGATCAATTTTCATGATGTGCTGATTTTTCCATTTGAAATCTGCTACAATCGTTGCGGCATATGCAGCCTCTTTCTTCACTCTCCCACTTTTTCTCGTTTTCTAGCTTATGCATGCATATCATGGATCCTTGTTGGTATTACTGCTTATAGTTTTTTTTTTAATCCCCTTTCTAGTTTATGTCAGTAATGTGCTTGCTGAGATTTGAGTTTTCACCATTTTTACCCTCTTGGTGCATGAACAAGGCATCTATCTACTATTATTTTTTAATCCAGTTGTTCTGTCAGTTTGGTGAGACAGACATGGTAAACCATGTTACCAAGTTGTTTTTTCTTTTTACATTGTTGGCACACTGGGAGTTTTATTAATCACTGCCAGTTGTAGTCTTGTATATTTGAAGCTCCTTTATTTATTTACTTTTTTATTTTTTACAGCTGGCTTAATGTAAACATCAAGCGTACTGAAGTGTTCACTCTGCTTCCTCTCTTTTTTTTTCCACTATGTTTCTTGTGCTGAATTCTGATGTTACTTGCAGCAAAGAAATTCAATGTTGTTCAGAAAAAGGTAGCAGAGTTGATAAAGGGAAGGATCCTTGTTGGTCATGCTTTGCACAATGATCTTAAGGTGAGTCTTTGTACAAATAAAATTTGCATCTCTGACAGCAATCTAATCTTAAGTCACAATTTGGAGTACCTGGATTCAATTTTCTGTGTAGGCACTGTTGTTAAGTCATCTGAAGAAGGACATACGAGATACGTCAGAGTATACGCCTTTTCTAAAGTACTGCTTGGCTTTCTGACTTGATTATAGTAACTATTTCAGGCTTTCAGAACTTGATCAATAACTATAGCTGTGTTTCATTGTCGAATTGTGGTTGATGAATTAGGGAAGGACGAAGTCGCTCACTAAAGAATCTCGCTTCCCAATTTCTTGATGTTGAGATTCAAAATGGCGAACACTGCCCAGTAAGTACCTTCTCTTCTATTTGCTGGCTCTCTATATGTCAACCAATGTGTATATTTCTCTGTTCCACTTCTTTTGAATATGTTCTGAAGCAGTGGTATCATGTATGAAATAATTGGACAAAACATTTGGTTGAATAGATTTACACATCTCGCTTCTAATTTAATTGATTCGAAGTAGTTTGATTCAGCCAATCAGTCTGGACGGGTCTTTTCAACAGTTTCAAAACTGCATTTGTAACTGTTAAGAAATTCTTGTGGCAATTGCCAATGGAGTGTGGATGAAGAATTTATCAAGCTCAACACTATTATGGAACATATGAGTTCATACACAAAAATAATGGGTTTGACTTGGAGACAACAACTCCCTGCAATAGTTCAATATCCTCAACCTGTAAAGGGTAAATATTTTCCTGTGTGATCCCAACCTAGGGTGGGTCTGACATATGATCTATTGCTCATTTTCTTTGGAAGTTTTATCTTATGATACACTTATTGACTTACACATCGATTTAGACTATTAATCCAATCATTTCATTTTATAACTTGGAAAACTTTATAATTATCTCTGTTCTCATGTAAATACTTTCACCTTCGTCTTTTTTCTTTTAGTGTCTTGTGGATATTCATCTTGAATGCCAGTAATTCTACTCATTGAAACTTCTGTATGGTGACTTACTCCCTTCGTGTTCCATGTCATATTCAGATACAAGATGCTAGAGCCGCAATGCTACTTTATCAGAAAAACAGAAAACAATGGGAACACAGCATCAAGGATTTCATCAGGCTGAAGGAAAAACAGAAAAAAAGGAAACACAAAAAGAAGTCGAAGCACGGGGAATCAGAAAATGTTGTAGCTTCTTCGTAGCTTCAATATGCCGTGCAACTATATTTACACCAGAACCAGTTAAACATATCTAAAGCCTGATCGGAAATGTGAAAACTCATAGAACCAGTGAAGCAAGGAAGCTGCATCAATGCAGAAGTTCTTGGAGAAAGAAGAGAACTGAACTGCTCTGTTGAATTCTGCTGTTGAATTCTTTTGCAGATGTTGTAACTTAAGTAAAACTGATACGCACAATTTTATAACGTTACTGTGTATGCCACGATGTGCCTGCATCGATGCTTTCGTGTGCCAGACGTGCCTGCATTGGTGCCCCCTAGTTTTGGATCAAATTTTGTTATGTACGTGTGCTAAAAATCATTTATTGTGTTTGCATAGTAGAAAATCATAGAATAGCGAATAAAATTTTCGTAAATAGTGTTACTCAGCTCTAACATTTAATATATCTTGAATGAACGAAAAATATATTTGGGGTTTTTAATCTAAGCAAAATGTAGAAGGTAGATTTTTGGTCATTGGGTTTTATTTTTCCAAAACTTATTTTAATAAAATAATGTTATACGTAAATTCAAAACTTTTTTTTTTTTAATATTTTAACTAAACATTCTTAAAGAAATCACAATTTTAAAACATTTTTTTCTTCTCAAAATCTCATTTTAATGGAATCCAAACATCGATAAGCGAGTCTTTAGCTCCTAGTTATATAACAACTGAATCCCCAATAAGTTAGGGTATATTCCTCTAGACGTTCCAAATCTTTCTCAAGTGCGATATGTATGTCTCCAACCTTCACTTTGCGTCATCGACCAACCTTTTGATATGGTGTGTAAAGTGTCCCAAGTCAACAAAGCACATCTAAATAGACAGTGAAAGGTACTCACACTATAGACACTTGATAATTGCCTGGTGGAATAATAGTCTAAAGTAATTTCATCCACTTTGAATACTACTTTCTCATAATTTGTTAGTTACTTTGAAATAAAGTGGAGAAATACTATTTTGGATAATTATATCTCCGATCGTTCATCACTTGCAAAACGCATGACCTTGAACTGGGATATTGTACGCACGATATAAGTTAGGGCATGAGATGACACAAATTAAAGGTTAAAGACGTGTATCACTCTTCTGAAAGATTGAGACCTTCTAAATTTATGAAGAATCTTTATTGTGTAATATATTAAATTCTATAGGATAGTTATATTGAAATTATACTTTTATTTACTGTCGAATTTACGTATTTAACTTTTCTCATTCTCATTTTTATCCTTAATCTTCAATTAATTAATATATTTTGTCTCTAACAACAATTTTTGTTTACATATTCTATTAGCGTTCTTTTAAAAATAAAAGAATAATTTTACTTATTTACAAATATGAGGACAAATAAATCTTTTTAAGTTCTCATAATAGATTTCTTTTAAAGAAGACGTTATTGGGGAAAAATGTGTTAACTAATGAAAGTTTGTGGATAATAATGTGATTAAAACATTAGTAACGTAATTGTGAAAATGAACAAAGGTTGATGACCTTCATTGCAATTATACTGTGAAGGTAACGACAGTGAAACGACGTAGCAACAGACGCACTCGGATTTGACAGACAAGGAAACGACGTCGTAACACAATTCAATTTTCGGGTGACGACCGCCACTAGAAGGAATGCATCCGTGAATTATACATCGTGGAGCAGAAGTTGTACATCAATCTGGCAACAGAAAAAATCGCTCGACAATAGAACGAATCCTCTCTATAAATAAGTTCACCCCCTTCTTCACAAATCCTAGCGCAAGCGGTATTTGGTAGAAATCCTGTCGAACAGTCAAAGGAATTGTAAGGTAAAGCTTATCCCTGTTTTCTAACCTTTTTTTTTGTTTACTTTTCTGCACAATTTTTTTCTAGGGTTTTCTGTATATTCTTCATTTTTTCCTTTATGTCCATGAATGATATGTATTGATCATATTGATTTCGTTCCAATTTGCTTTCTACGATTACTTAGTTTTGAAGATTTCTGTTATCGATTAATCGATGCGCCTAACTCCAATTCTCGTGGCTATTTAATTTTTCTGCGCTAATTTTGGATACTAATTAATAATCTATGTTGATTCCATTTAAAAACATACTGATTTTGACAAAGGATTCATATTTCTTCGAAACTTTTTAATACAAGTAAGGAAGCTTTTAATTTTTTTGGAACTAGAATATTTCGTGTTTGTTTCAAAGAAATTGAAGACGTTTTCACCTTTTTAATGCATTTTTTTCTCTTAATTTATTTTGTAAAATTTGGTTGTTCCTGGGTTTTGTTTATAGTAGTCGAGTCTTGACCATTGATTTTGAGTTGAAGGCATTGTGTTGAACTTAAAAAGGCACCAGCTCACTTCTGTCAAATCCATAAATATTAATTGCTGTTTAGTTTATTACATTACCATCTGGGTGAATGGGCCTGCAATTTTGTTTTTGAATTTTTCTTTCAAATTATGAGAAAATATTGTTCCATTTTTGCCTGTTTGGTATGCTGGAGAAGACACTGGACAACAATAAGGAAGAAAAAGAATTTAAAACCTTGTGCATTGTAACTTGTAGTATCTACTGCTGTCTCTCGAACATATTTTTAAGTGTTTCGTTAAATCTGTATGTCTATGTATTAGTAATCTTCCGAATGATTTATATTAGTCACGAGTTAATATCTGGTTTGTCAACAGCTGAGAGATGGGTAAGAGGAAGGCCAAGTCAAAGCCACCACCCAAGAAGAGAATGGACAAACTTGATACTGTTTTCAGCTGTCCCTTCTGCAATCATGGGAACAGTGTGGAATGCCGCATGTAAGTGTTCCACGAATCTATTTTCCTTTTCCCTCTGACCTGTATTACAAGGAGGGAGAATGTGCAGATAATATACTTTTTCATTAATATAAGCACCATTACTTCTGGACCACAAATCATTTGAGATTATGTAAGTAAAGTCCTCTCAAGTCTATGTGGATGTCACATGTTAAATAAAGTCAAGGAGATGTCCATTTTGTTTATCTTGCCAAATCTCTAGTATTTTGGTGAGTAAGGAATGAAAAAATGGGACAGAAGATCTGGAAGGATGGAATAAGGATTTTTTTTTTTAAGAAGAGGATGTAATTCATCGGTCTTTTTTGCCTTTTTATGAGTGCAATGAATGCAAGAAATAGCAGGAAGTGGTGTTCTATATTTGTCAGCATTTGTTTCCAGTCCTTTATCTCGCTTCTCTCTAGTAATCTTTGTTGTTGTGAAACACCACTTTCTTCTGTTTCAGTGATATGAAGAACTTGATTGGCGAGGCTTCATGCAGGATTTGCCAAGAGAGCTTTAGCACCACTGTGACAGGTGACCCCCCCCCCCCCCCCCCCCCCCCTCTCCTCCTCCTCCTCCTCCTCCTCCTCTCTCTCTCTCTCTCTCTCTCTCTCTGATGTCATACAAATCAAGCATAAACCAGTCGAAAACACGTCTGTGATTGTAGCCTTTACTCTAGATGTTGAATTATGAAGATATCTAGCTCAAAACACAGAAAAATGTGAAAAGTTGAGGGCAGATGTATAAGGTAAAACCGGAAAAGGTGTAGTTCAAGAGAATACATAAATTTTGGGAATGACGAACTTGTAGAAAATGAAAAGAAAGCAAGAAAGAAAAAACTGGGGGGTGGGATGATTGACGGCCTCATCAGATTATTCATTATTGTGCCTCTGTTGATTTTATTTACTTCTATTGATTAATTTCATGTTTTAATACTTTTGTCTGAATTTTTTGCAGCTTTGACCGAGCCTATAGATATGTAAGTCAGAGATGAAGCATCTATGTAAATTCATATTGAACTGTTAAAATTTCTCACTTTCTTTTTTATCTCACTAAAATTCTATGCCTACAGATATAGCGAATGGATAGACGAGTGTGAACTTGTCAATTACTATGAAGAAGATGGCAAATAGATAGGAGACTCGGAGAAGTTTCATCATCGGCGTGCCATCAAATCATGTGCTTTTTGATGGCTAATGCGCGTTATCATATCTTGCCAAGACATTGTGTGTATATGTTTGCAAAACTATTTACTATTACGTCGTTATCTTTGAAGTGATGTTTCAGACGAGAGTAAAGAATATGTATGTGATAACTTTAACTCAGTATCTTGTGTTAATGGATTCTCATCAATTAATAAAATTGCTTTCTTCAACACCATTGTCAGGTATGTAATATAGGTTTATTAACACATTGGTGCTTGTTCGGTGCATGTTGTTGGACAAGATCGAATCAGAAAAAGAGTTAAAATTTAGCTCATTGTTCAATCTTGATTACCAAATATGCTAGGAATGTAGAATTGTGTAACCAAAAAAGACAAGTATACCAAATTTTACCTTGACGGAGTGGCACAACAAGCTCCCGTGCTCGCTTCCGGAAAACCCAGTATAAGAAAAGTTTCTTTAGCTCGTGAATGGGCGATTTAATAACACGTGCTCGATTGAATATGCAGTAACGAGCTTTCGGAAAACCTAGTATAAAAAAAGTTTCTCGAGCTCATGTATCGGCGATTTAATCACGTGTTCAATTGAATATGCAATAATGAAACTATTAGAGGATGTTCTCTTCGTGTTTCAATTTTTAATTTTGAGTTCTGAATTCATTTTGAGTTTTGTGTTTTGAGTGTTTATTTTGAGATTGTTGAAAACGTTTTCTTTTTACCATTTTGAAAAATTGTTTTCAAAAACAAAAAAATTAAGTTTTGGCTTGGTTTTAACCGAAAACAACCAAAATGACCTTTTGTCTGTTTTATTTGTAAATTTTAAACTCTTTTTGGAAATTCGTTTTTGAAAATAAGTAAGTAAACGTATTTTCAGTGTTTTCGAAAACTAACAACTGAAAATAGCTTGAAATCAATAAAGATAACAAACCCTTAATTTCTCGTGAGACAATTCCGATCATTCATGTTGGCCTACATAACGTTGTTTTCACAACTCAACTGAATGAATGTGGTGGCTAGCATTCGAGAGAACTTCGAATTAACGAAGTATTTGGAATGGGCTTTGCCTTCATTTATTTAATAGAATCGATCCGATGATCAGTCTAAAACATTAGTAGAGACTAGAATAATTAATAAACAAGGAAAAAGCGGATTTACATTTAGTCCATTTTTGGCTCCCATTAAATTTTAATTCATTTTTTTCTATCCTCTTATTAACCACACATTCCATGTTCGAGTTTCATTATTTGAAAAAAAAAATATATTAATTTTGAAATAGTATTTTTTGAAAAATGTGTAGTTGAAAAGTAAAAAGAGTTTTTAAATTTACGTATAATGCTATTTTATCGAGACAACGTGTAGTTAATGACACGAGAGAAAAATGAATTAAAATTTAATGTTCAAACAATCGGCAATCTTCCTCAATGTCAACAAAAACCGAACGTACGTCTTTCCCTTCTCCTATAAACGGATACATTTAAGAAGCGATTTTAGGTCAAAAGTCACGATTTCTTCTCTCATCTTCTACAGCCTTTTCCTCCTCTCCTTCTATTTCCGCTGATTTCGTGAAAAATAATTGGTTGCTTTGCCACAGCAACTGATGGGACGACCAGCGAGCAACGGGGCCCCCTCCTTCCGGTTTAACCATGCTGAGGTTATATGCATAATTCTTCTCTCTTTAGACAGAAACCGACAAGAATACTGCAAGTGAATTTTCCAGTTAATGTTGAAATAATATTTTCTGAGGAACTGATTGTGTTTATCTCAATTTTTTGATATTCTTTATGTTTCTTATATCTTGGTTCTCCCATAATTTTAGAATCTGCGTTCGATAAATTTTCCTCCTCGATTTTGATTAGAACATTGCATTTTTTTTTTCTCTGGAAGGTTAGGTACCGAAATAAAATTTAAAAAAATGTTTGGTGCACGTACTCGTTTTATGCAAAATTGGGGATTTCTGGTGCCAGTTTCGTGAAGTACTGGTAATTTGGTTAACACGTACACTTGAGCAGTTCATGAAGGATGTGAAAATAGTGGTTTAACTGAGAAAATGGACTGAATAAAGAAAAATGCTTTAATGGTGTTCTTGATTTCGTCTTGTCAATGGGTAGATGCATATAAACATGAATTGAGTGCTTAGGTTATCAAGTAAATGTTTGGGAGTGCTTATGAGGAGCTTTGAAGCACTCCAAAACATGAAGTCTTGGGGTTCTTAGCCCAAGCTCTTACTAGTTGATTATATTTTTCTTGTTTAAGCTATGTGGAGTTTTACCCCCAACATATCCACGGTGGGTATTTTGAAACATTAGTCTTTGAAATCTCACAGCTTGTATGAGCTTTTTAGATGGATAGAATGGCTTATTGGATCTTTTTTTGGGCTATCAAGTCATGAGTTTGCAACTTAAAAGTTGAAGCTTGCTAAGATGAGTGTCAACCACGGTGACCATCTTCTCGTAAATTATAAAATTTTAAATGAGATGGTTAACACAATGTTGAACCAGGTGAGACTTGTTTCAAATCTGTGGACATGTTAGATCTTTGGTCAAAAAAAAAATTTGGTCCGGTCATGACAGGGGCTTGTTGAATGCAAGATATAAATGGATATATGAGACCCTTTCTAACAGCTTAACTTCTTTTTTTTTTTTTTGAAAGGTACAGCTTAAACTTTTAAATAAGATGGTTAATATAAGTACGTGTTATTGTGGGCAGTAGACATTTTCCCTCAGCAAGAATAAATGCTATCCATGCATTTCACCTATTTTTCTAGTGTTGCAATTTCATTTTATTCTAATAACATAAATACTTTTAATCCACTTCCAAATGATTTCAGCTAATTTGATGTAAAAGCGCCACGGTAACTATAAAATAGGGGGCAGATTTATTGAACTTAATTTAGCCAGTTTCCTTTTATCATAATTCCAAACGCTCTCTTATGGATTTCCTTGTGAAATAATCACTGTGAATGAATGTGAAATTTTGAAATTTTCATGAAAACTATGATGTTTTCTTTCTTCAGGGTAATTATTATAAGGAGTTTCAGTCTGCTATAGCCTCCTGCTGTTACAATTGAATCCTTGCTACTCAAGGTGTACAACACTTAGTTGTTAGGATCAAAATTTACGTGCTGCATGTTTTCTGACCTTATGAACATGCATTTCTAAACTGGTTGCTGTATCATTTATACCAAGAAACTAGGGGTGGTAAATAGGCCGGGCCGGGCTGGGCTTGCTCTCCCACCATCGAGTGGCAAGCCAAGTGTGAACTGACTCGTTTCCTTAAATCCTGGCTCACCTCGCCCCACCAACTCGCACTTTAGTGGGATGAACTGAGCCGGCTTGCGAGCCACTAGCAGCTCTTGTGTTTTTTAACCGAAAATTGCAATTTCACTCTCGATGGCGAGACGGTTCGCACGAGGTTTCGATGTTCGGCTCGAGCTGGCATGATCTGAGCTAGCAAGCAGCTCGCCCCACTTATACCCCTACAAGAAACTAACAACTTATTAAACTCATGTTCTCCAAAATTTGAGCATCTCCACTATTAAAAAGTTCTTACAATATTGTATTTTTATTTGGCACATATTGGATTATCGCTTACGAAATAGGTGCCACCAGATGAAGATTTGTGAGTTTGTGCATCTATTCAGACAAACTGAAGATCCTATTTATTATAACGCATCAGAGTTAAACTCTCCTGTGTTTATGTAGAATTATTTTTGCTGTAACCCGTTGCATCAATATAATGTATACCATGTTTTGTGCAATGGCAACTTCCTTAATTCCTTTTCCCATGTCATGGCTATTATTTTACATTAAAGGTTAGCGAGATGGAAGCAATTCTTCAAGCACACAACTGTGCTGTGCCTGCACGTGAAATTCTTGAAGCTCTTGCTCAGAAGTTTAGGTATGTGGTTATATGCTGTGGCGAATAATTTAAATACTTGGAATCCATTTATGGAAATCTAAAAAGTTTGTTTGTGGTGTAATTGCTGTTGATATAGTGCTTCAGCTGAAAGATCTGGGGTGGTTGAAGTTACGGTGAAACAAGTAATGGACTGCCCATTATGTACGTGCTTGATTTTTTTGTTGATCTTTCCTTAACTTAAATTATTTGCAAAAGGTGTGGAATTGGTTCCAAAATAGGCGATATGCTGTTAGAGCAAAAGCCACGAAGACAATTGTTCCTGCACCGACGAGCATGCCTCTTATGCCTCGAGATGATCAGGCTACAGTTCGAATCGCACCTCAGACCCCTCAAACTCAGCCTGCTCCTTCAGGTAGCATTGAATTGTCTCATGTTAAGAAGCTTCTAAATCTATTTTTTACTGTCATCAATATTAAGCAAGCTTTTCAAGGTATGCCTGCTTGTGTTTTTGTTCTAATTCGTATAATACTTTTATCCAGCTCCAGTGAAAAGTATGCCTCAAGTACCCCATCCTATTACTTCTCCTTCAGGTAGATGTTAAGTTGTTGACAATGATTTTATTATTTTTGTTTCTTCTCGACATCTTAATATGCAAAATAAGTTCTTACTTGTGGTCATTAGTGCTTGTTTACCTATGGTGAATCAAGTGCATATCTCCCGTGGTATCATGTTTTTTTTTCCTATACATTTTTTTGCAATAGTATTACATGGACTTGGTGGGCAAAAGTTACCTGTAGTGACCAAACCTATAGGTTTAATATTTGTTCTATCTCTCTCTCTCTCTCTCTCTCTTTTTGCTAAGACCCATGAGTGCTTGACGCTGTTAATTAAAATTCAATATTCGGACGTGCTTCCTTAAAACCATTGTACACTGATCTAATTTACTAGATCCTTTATTTCCAGGACAAAGTGCAGGCAAGAATGCTTCAGATAATTCTCAGATGGAATTCGAAGCTAAATCTGCACGGGATGGTGCATGGTTAGTCTTTTTGACCATGTCATTTATAGTTTTTATGGAATTATTTTTTGCCACCTGTGTCCTGATAAATGTGGGTTCCTTTTAGTTAATAACAATGATTCTTAAGTAACGTTTTTCTTCTCAGGTACGATGTCGCAACTTTCTTATCACATAGATCATTAGAGACTGGTGATCCGGTACTTGGAGCTTATTTTCCCTCTTAAAATTCATAGAAGAAAGCTTCTAGCTTTTCTATATTTTGGTCATTCTTGTTAGATTATGGCTATTCTTTACAATGGATGACGTTTGTCAGTTTAATATATTTCTTGAAATAGAATTGTCTTCTTGATTTGCTAGGACTTGGGTTGATTTTCTTGTCCCTTTGTAGATCCTACTACGAGCATGATTATTTTTTGGCATTCTCTTGATTTGACCATTGAAAACCGTCCTTCCTCTTAAGCTCATGTTTTAGGAATCGGAACCTACAAGCATTAAGCCATCTCACAACCACGATTGCTCATATAATTGTCCCTATTCATCTTCCCTTCCCTTTTAATTATTGAATTATGCTCTTCACTTCAGGAAGTTCTGGTTCGTTTTTCGGGTTTTGGACCAGAAGAGGATGAATGGGTCAATGTTCTCAAGAATGTAAGACAACGGTCACTCCCATGTGAATCATCGGAGTGTGCAGCGGTTCTTCAGGGAGATTTGATTCTCTGCTTTCAGGTGCATTTCTATTAGCAATATCAAGAAAAGGAAAGAATTGCAAATAAATAGTTTCTGAAAAAGTTTAATATTAGTTAGATCTCATCTTTCAAATTGTAGGAAGGCAAAGAGCAGGCCCTCTACTTCGATGCACGTGTTCTTGATGCACAAAGGCGGAGGCACGACGTTAGAGGATGTCGTTGTAGATTTCTGGTGCGATATGAGCATGATCAGTCTGAGGTATATAACTTCTATATTGTGAACTTCAAATTCATGTCTTTGCGATACGATGTATACATGTTCGTCAATTTGACATGACACCGTCCTCTGTTTCTATGTAAAGGAAATTGTTCCGCTGAGGAAGATTTGCCGTCGGCCTGAAACTGATTACAGGTTGCAGCAACTTCATTCTGGATCTGCTACTGTGAATGCACAAAAAACAGGTACAGATCCTCGACCTGGAAACTCTTCAGTAATCAATGCTACAGCGGCAGCAACACAAAAACTTCCCACACCTGTGCCCAGCGGTGAATCTGAAGCACCACCACCGAAGATTGCCTAGCCTGGAAGTTTGATTTCTGTCGGAAATTCATAACCTTAAGACGTGTGTAGCTCCATTCTTAAGCTAACTTAGGACGAACGCTGCATTTACTACTATTGTAGTTTGAACTGAAACTCCTGTCTCAGTTAATATGTTCTTATATATAGTTGAGTTCGGTTTGCGTACTTATTTTTAGAGCGAAAACTAATCATATCATTTAAAATATTTGGGGATAGACTTTTTCCATCGGTTAAAGTCAATAATTAATTTTAATCACACATTTCATTAATTTTTATAGAAATCTGTTGAAATTTTTATCAGAAGCTTTGTCAAACAACATCTAAGGCCTGTTTGATTGTCACATTTTTTCATGAAAAATGTCATATCTGAGGAAAACGAATTTCAATTTGACCATTTGATTGCAACGTGAAAATGAAAATCAAATTTTAAGGTACAACCACTTTAAACTGTATTTTCTTTGTTTTCATATAAAACGAATTCCTATGGGTTGGGTGGGTTTTATTTTTCAACTAACATGGAATTAGAATTCATTTTTACATCTGCCTATATCGAAAGGACCCTAAGTGTATTTTCGAAAGAGTGGAAGCAAATAGACATTTATCTCTTGTTTGATTCTCAAAAATTTACAAAACAGATATCTGATTTTTATATGAGATTTTTAACAGTTTGATGACTTGGTGCACTGATAAGTAGGATTTTCAATTAAAAAATAGAAGTCAAATTGTATCAGTAGTCTGAATGAAACGTTTTGTAAAGTTGAATGACGATTTGAAATATAAAAAGTCAAATTCCAAAATTAAGTACCAATGCCACCCTATTTTAATTAATGCTCATCTTGTGATAGCATGAAAGTGAAATAATAAAAATAAATCAATAGCAATAGTTGTTTCATTAAAAGAATTGAAGTTGTTGGCCATTAGTTGTTGACATAGAGTATATTTTTTCGTGTTGTAATAGTTAATTCGGGTCGAAACATTTAAAAAAATTACTACGTTGACGAACATATCTAAAAAAAAATATTATTTGAGCCTAAATGTGTCAATTCACTTTATCTCTACATTTATTGTACTTTTTTTGATAATTTTTGCATAGAATTAAAGAAGATGAATAATACTACTTACAGTCGTTCACTGCAGCAGTCGTCCTATATGACATACACATGTTAAGTGTGTATTTGATGCATTAAATGTGGTAAAAAACTACTACATTAATGTATCAAATAATTACATGCTATGTGTGTGCCATATAGGGCGACTGCTGCAATGAGCGACTGCAAGTAGCATTTCTCAAAGAAGATTAGGTATTTCAAAAATCTATCGAGTATCACAAGAAATAAACAATTATACGCCATATGAGACATCAGTCACGACAGAAGAACTTCGAATATATATATATATATATTGTAAAGTCGCCCATAATTAATTAATTACTTAATGAAATCATGTATAATTTTTAATTGATGTCAATAAGAAAACCATCTCAAACTAATTGTAGTTACATTAATACAGTAAAAATAAATAAATAAACTTATATTATATTTTAAATGTCCCATTGCTGGGACCGGCATCTAGGCGATACGACGCAGGTCAAATCTTGAATCCACTAAAATTATGCAAACGGGTTGTGTTGTGTTGTGTGAGGCTCAGGTTATGATACTAACGCAGGTCATGTAATTTGTATTGCTTTTCAGATTGGTTTAGTCCATTATATAGGAAATTCTATTAGAATTTTGTAAAATCATTTTATACTCGATCTAGATGTATGTACTCATGGACAAATTAATGTACATAAACAATTTGTTAGGTACACTAAAGCAGCCTTGCTGACCATGAAATTTTCTAGCCAAGCCAACTTTAGTTGGACCAAATCCATCATAAAATAAACAATTTTATAACTGCCACCATTGCCATTACCATTAGTCATCACTTCCCAATTCACAGGACCGCTCTGCACACCAAAAATAAGAGACTTGGCACACGTGAAGAACAAGGAGATGGGACTTACATTTAAGGAGGAACTGTTGGATTATTTTCTAGTCCCAATTGGTTTACTGCTCATGATTGGATATCATCTATTCCATATCCACAGATGCCTAAATTTCCCTGATACCACTGTTATCGGCTACGAAAATCATAACAAGAAGGCTTGGGTTCAAAGAACCCTACAGGTCAGTAGCACTCGACCATATTGAAAACAGAAGTTAGAATCTTGTTTGTTATACTGATCTGGCAGTTTGCAGGTTGAAGCCAAGGATAGAGGGCAGGCTATAGATGTGATCAACAGCAACTTATCTGCAGCAATTTCACTGGCTTCGTTTTCACTGGCTTTGAGTTCTCTAATCGGGGCATGGATTGGAAGCGTCTCCCACAATGTTTTCATAAGTAGTAATATCTATGGAAATAAAAGCTCGACTGCTGTTTACATCAAGTACATAGCTCTTCTGTCATGTTTTCTGGTTGCTTTTGTTTGTTTTGTTCAAACAGCAAGGTGTTTTGTTGATGCCAATTTCCTCATAAGCATGCCGAACTGTGAAGTTCCTTCTACCCAAGTTGAGAATGCAGTTATAAGAGGAAGTAATTACTGGATAATTGGCTTGAGATCGCTCTTTTTCGCAAGTAATTTGCTTCTTTGGATTTTCGGTCCAATCCCAATGTTTGTTTGCTCGATGATAACAGTAGTGGTGCTTTATAATCTGGATAGAAATACAAGCCCGTTGCCTCAGTATAAGACACGAGTCCGTTATCACCCAGAGAAGAATGATAACGAAAATACTGCAGTTAATAGTACTAATGATAGTTGTAAGAGATCAGATACAGCTGAAGAAGAACATCCAGCATCTAATTATGTTCACATAGTACGTGAAGCAAATCAGCAATACAAGACAGAAAACCATAACAGGGATGAAAGTGGATAAGCTTGCTTCCCTGCACTTTTTTTTGTAAGATTCCGCCGCTGTATAACAGTACAAGTATGGTTTTGTACTCAGCACTACATGAAATAAATAGCCTTTTTTTCAGTTTCCATTTACGATCTTTACTTTTAAGGGTTTTGCTATTTGTACATCAGGATGTCACAAACCCCCCCTCACAAGAGGGGGGGCCCACGACCAATAAAAAAATCGTAAACCTCACCTCTTGTGAGGGGGGTCTGTAGCAAAGCCCTTACGGCAAACATGTTGAACAACTTGTCTTAATTATGAGTGCACACCAAGAGTTGACTACAAGAATGCCGTGTGGGCTGTGGCCTGTGCACCCACCTCTTTATCTCTATCTGCTATCTTATGGATGAGAGTTTTCACAATGAAGGTCGGGTTCCTCAAGTCAGTACTAGGGTGATGAAATGACTAAGAGTCACTTTTTTTAGGGCCTACTATTGACATAACAACATGGTTTTAGTTTGGGGACTGAGATAAACTATTGATAGACTTGCACAATTATATCCATGTGTCTGATTGGTTTATACATCTACATACTGCATATCTGTAAAAGAAGGAAAGGCCCCCCGGGATGGGGGGGTGATCATCAAGAGGAGGTAATAAATATATTTATATGATATGGTAATGTAATAAATGTTGTTCGGACTAGAGGGTAAATCTTGAAACTGTGTAAAAATGACGTGTAATACAAAATAGTAAAGAAGAAGACCATAGCTGCTACTATTAGATTCTTATCTTCCATTATTGAGTATTCCCTGAACTTTGATCCTCGTCGCTACCAGTGATTCCAGAGTTATCCGTACTACTTGACTTTGAATTTGACGAACTTAATGGTGCTTCGTCTTGATCAGTAGACTCTCCCATAACGGAGTTGATGGCAAGCTGGCCCGAGTAAAGTACTAAACCTACAGCATTGATGCCAAAAACAAATGTAGCAAGGTAACACAATCCATTCACAATGGTCCTGCACAGAGTTGATGAAAAGGGATCAAAAGTCGAATTTTATCACAGAGAGAAGAGAAACAGGGTGAGTGCCAAAGTTACCTTATAGTTATAGTTATCTGCCGGACCTGCAAAACAAGAGAAAATATGTAGCATCAGTATTGTGAATATTATATGAACATACTTTTGAAAGAAGTGGTTTGCATCATATTAAACAAGACCGCTTTCAGTAAAGGTTTTCTTATAAATTAAAACAGCCGTCACCATATAAATATATAAATGATAAAAGAAGATCCAAAGATCCTTTAAATGTTCTGCCATTACACCAAAGTCTAGTATTGAAACAAACATCAATCAAGCAAAAAGTTAAGAAGCCACACGCATGCAAACACACAAAAGGGATGCGGAAATAAGTTATCATTCAAGAATCGTCAATCGACTTTAATAAAAAATTTCCTATTGCTAAATGATATAAAGATACATTACAAAGATTTAGGCCCTCAAAGGATTACGTCTTTTTCTTATCAGTTCCAACAGCTATAAACAAAAAGATAAAACATCACAAGCATCCCTCGGAATATACCGTTGTTAACTATTTACAAGAGGTGCACTCATCATGAACAAATGTTCTCAAGACAAGAAATCCACAACCTAAAGGAAAATAGATATGCAGAACTGCCTAAACAATATATGATATCCTAAATTCTGTTTAAAGACCTGAAAATTTGTAATCTGCAAATTAATTAAAGAAAAACATTATTAATTATGATTAAACTAAGATGAGTCTTGATTAGTACTATACCCAATTTTCTGGATTCGGTTTTATGCGGTCCAAATGCAACCTAATGATTGATATTGAATTCTTATGATAAGAGACACTTTAATTCCCATATGCAATTGCTTTCCTATTTTATGTGAGAAAAAGGGCAAAAATGAGATATGACTCGTGATAATTTATGTGGCTAAATTGGAGAGCAGACCGAGAAGTTATCTGAAAGCGTCTGTCGACTGAGTGAAGCCTCAATAGTAGTTGTGAATTTGTAAAGAATTACTGCGATCACTCCGGCGGTTAACCCTCCCAACAGTGCCTGGACAGGCGAAGGTGGAGACTTGGCTGTAACTGGCGACAGAGACACTGCTTTCAAGCTCTCCACGGCCTCTTCCTTCAATGATTTCTTTGCCCCTGATGACCTGAATCTCTAATCGGAGAAAATTACCAAATATTCAGAACAGCTACATAGAATTCCATAACATAATCAGAGTACACAACTATACAGTCACTGCACATTTTATTGGAATTTAACCTCAAGAACATAAACTCATATGTACGTCTGGATTAAGCAATGCAATGGTACTGCACGAACATGTAAGCATTAATTATCTATTAACTAAACATTGAATCTTGCTACTGTGTATGAACATATACAAATCTACATCTAATTTAATCTTAATCAATCAATTGAACTTGTCTACCCAATAAATAATAGCATACTGAAACAGATCAATTACAAACAAGAAAATGCACTCAACCTTAGAGAATACATGCACAAGCAAAGAAATTAATTTCATTTCCTTTATGAGCCAATAGAAAATGCACACCATTCTAAAGAAAGAGCGAAAAGATTGTCAGCCCACAGTGAGTATAAATACCGTTTCTTTAGCACGCTTGGCTCGGCGGCGGAGGGACCGGAAAAGAAAGACAGTGATGGCACCGGTGAGGAGAACACTGGTGGCCGTTTGGAGAGTAGTGGGGTCGTCCGAGGTGGAGAAAATAGGGGGAATTGACGGCGAGAGTTCAATGGGTCCCTCTTCCGGCGGTGCATCGACGGAGCTTTTGATTGCAATGGTGGGCTCTTCTGAAGCTTGGGCAACCGATAGTTTGTGGGCTGAGCAGATAGAGTACAGAGTGGAAGTGGAGGAGTTTCTTAAGGAGAATTGGCTAGAATGGGAAATGAGAAGTGGAGATAAACAAGGGAAAAGGCAGTTTGAAGGGAGAAGCTTCAGATTGTTTTGAAATTGCAACATTTGATGAGGACTTCGTTTACAGTGGAAGATTGGCAGTGGTTTATGGCAGTTGCTCGATTTTCAGTGACGAATATCTGTGATAAGAGGATTTTTGTATGATAGAGCCACAGAGCCACAGCACATACAATACAGTGGAAAAACTTACATTTGGAATCCCTAATCTATAAATGGTAGAGCGTTCAGGCCCAAAACTTTTAAGATGATTGTCTAAGCCTCCACTGTATTTAGGTCATCAATATACAACTACTGTTTGTTTGATGGTTAAAAAGTTAAATTTCAAGTTGAGAAGTTCGTGAAGGGCCCGTTTCGTGTGGCTTCTGCTTCATGTAAAAGAGTTTTATGAAGAAACTAACTTAAATCAATTTTATCCGAAAGCTCTTCTAAACATGTAAAAGATTTTCAGAAAGTTATTCATACATATTTAAAAGTAACTTTTTAATCTCAGAAACAGATTTTGATCTTATAAAAGTTCTATCAAACGGGCTCGTAGGAGATTAGTTATCTAATGTAGCTTTTCTAATGTTTGAGGATCTTTATTTGCAATGAATTTTGCTAAGATGGTCACGTGTTAAAGTTTGAAAATGAATTGCTAGGTTTTATGTTCATTTTGTTTGGAATTTTTATCTTCAAAACCACCCATCTTTTTTACCGTTGATTTGCAAGGGAGGGTGTGGGTGGTCGAAGAAGCTCGAGGGAATTATGGTTAGAGAACGGGGCATGGTTGTTGATGGCCAAGGTAGCCTGGTGGAGGCGCCAATATTGGTTTGGAGTAAAGGGGATTAGTTGGGTAAGATTTCGAGAAAACGATAAAAATTGCTAATTTTTTCCTTTTCCTTCTCTTCTTTTTGATTAAACGAGGGTATAATAATCTTTTTAATGAAGAATATGATTTGTTACTTGTTAAATAGGCTATTTGTACCAATTGGAACCTAATACAATAAGGCTGGAAGTTTAGGGGCCTAGATTGTTGTTTCGCATGTTGGGACCTAAACGCTCTTCCATGTATAGTTTTGGACCTTAGATATAATTTTCCCATGAAGAATTGAAAAATGACATTATCTTTTTTTTTAATAGAAGTCTCTTTTTTAATTATTTTTTTAGTAAAACCCTCCCTCCCTCCCTCTTTTTATTCTAACCCAAATGAAAGAAGCTATTACCTATAACCCTTCCTGTATATTTCGCGGCTAGACTAAAACTTCACCTAAAAGCAAGACTCGAGAGTAGTAAACAAATCGTGTCATATTAACAAATGTCATTATTGTTATGCTGATTGCCCATATTGTGAGGCTTTCAACTTCTATTTTTCTATCGGACCACAGTCTTAACATCCAGTCAAGCACGAACACGAGAGTATTTCATTCCATTTTTCAAAAGGATTTGGGCCTCTTGTTATGAAGCGTATCATGAGATTTGGCTACTTAGGAAGGAACTCGAAGTGAAAGGGCCCCTACTTATTTTTAGAATTAGAGAGAGACCCAGACTAAGAAGCCAATATCGCAATGATTAGAAATCTCTAGGGATAAGATCAGATCATATGGTAGAAATTCAAGAAGGCAGCTCGTCAAAAAAATATCCTAAATCTCGTGAATTAATAGAATTCAGTCTACTCACCCCGCTTTGAAAAAAACTGACAACTACCCGACATCGGAAAACGTAGATAAAAGAAGAAACTAGTGTTAAGTACAATTTACGACGTCTATCATTTATGCCTTGATTACTGCAGTTTTGAGTGTGGGAGTTGCTTGTTTTTCTCCCTTGGGCCAAATATCATCAAGAAAGCAGAGGTTTAAGCAACATTGTGTGCAGATGAAGTGAAAAATCTAATGCTGCATTACAAAGTAAAAGATTGCAAGCAAGAACTCAGGATATTTGATTATATATTGCTGCAATGACACTGTATTTTCAACTTGCACATATGTTGATATATTCCTACGGATATAACTTAGAATTCGTTTGGCAGAGTTTCTGCTTTTTGTAAAAGAACTTCTCGAGAAAGTTATTTTAGATCAACTTTCTTTAAAAGCTCTTGGAGCCACAGATAAAACACTTCAGAAAATTATTCAAACATATTCAAAAAACAGATTCTTAGTCTTCGAAATATCTTTTGGAAACTTTAAACTACGGATAATTTTAACAGAGCATGAAATTGCTACAGCAATTTAGTACAGCAAATAATGTTTTGTATATCCCAATATGTTAGAGAAATTGTGTGACAGTGATAATATATTCTGATTAATGGATTCCCTATAAGTAAATTTGCAATTAGTACTTATTTTCTTGATTTTCAGCTTCGCGACTTTCGTTTTGTATGAGAGCGGGTGGCGCACTTTCTTCGCAACTCATTGACCTTTTCTGAGGCTAATGGAAACTAAATTGGTTAAGTTTCAACACTCTTGTCGCACGTTAGACGCCACAGCCCTAGCCCAAAATTTGATCTGCGCTTTCATGTCTTCGTTCGATCTCTTCCCGACCCATTTTGGAATTGGAGGGGCAGAGCTTTGCCCTCTCCACGCCTCAGAAAAATACGGAGTCCTCCTTGTGTTCTTCTCTTTGTATTCTTCAAGTGTGCTAATAGCATTCATAGTCGAGTCTCTTCTGTTGTAACTTAAACTTGAATCTTTAAAACCTCGTATATCGTCAATCTTGAGATCACTGAGGCTCTTTTGCATCTTTATTTTCTTATCGATTAGATATTTCGGTTTCGTCGTTGAATAGCCCTCCATGTTAATGGTTTCCATATCTGGCTTTCTTTGAAGGGATTGCCTTGGTATGCTGTATCTTTGTGTCATATCCTGCAATACAAGTGTAATAAACATTAGTTTGGGCATTTGGGGGCCAAAAATGCTGTGAGTACAATTTTTTTTTACAGAATTTTCACAGAAATTTAAATTTTACTCACATGGGGTAGACCCCATTAGATTAAAAAATTGATTTTTCTATCCACCCACCCCCTATTGTTTCTATCCTGTATGGGTACAGGAATTTGAATTCCTGTACCCATAGCAGAACTCTTTGAGGGCACCCCGATTGTCACCGTTCACTTCAGGAATAGAGGTTCTTGATGTGGTGTATGCTTGTACTTTTTTTTTTTTTTTTGGCACGTCGCTCCGCGAGCAAGGAGTGCCACGCACGAGCGAAGCGAAAAGAAAGTGTCTGATCCACTCGACTCTTTCCCTTCACCCCGACCTCTAACTGGTCCATTAATTAAAGCTATATGGACCCTACAAATACATGTAAAGGAGATTGAGAAGTACCTTTGGAGGAGTCCGTCTATCTGAAAGGTTTAAAGAAGCTTGCCTAATCAACTTTCCCATAGAAAACTCACTCTCTTCATCTTGAAATTCATCTTCTCCCAAACAAGTTGGCAAAGACGGCGCGCGAAGCAAATCGACACATTTTCCTCGTCCCTTATTCGATTTCTTCGTTCGAGGCATTGACGGCGTCCTGATCAGATTAGGCCGATCAAATTCCATCCCCACAGACAGTTTCTTGATCGATTCGTAGGTTTCTTCATATGATTTTTCAGACAAAATCTCATGGCTGGTGTTTGAGGATGTACAAGGATCAGAATAACTTCTTAACATATTCTTTTTCCCGTCAAGCAAATTGCCAAAGAACCAGCCTTCCTCCAGCAATTCTCCAGGCTCAAGAATTTCATCATGAAGATTCATATCTGCCACAAATTCACCCGATTGGGGTTCTTGAATTGATGAAATTCTATATGGTTTTGAAGAGATAGCAAGTTGCTTAAAAACAATGGTTATCTATATAAGCAGTCAACTTAGATGATTGGAGGGCATGTGCTCTAAAAGATTGCTACACATTTAATATTATTTGGACATTAGACTATTGAGGTTTGTAATTATTGAACTTCATAGAGAAATGGGTTGGGAAAGAGACAAAATAAATGCAATCGCATACAAGAAACTTTCACTAAAAGTTTAAGTCGTTAAAGAAAGACAATCTGGATAAATATAGAGTTTGTTTGACAGAAATTTTTACTTTTTGTAGAAGAACTTTCTGAGAAAAACACTTTAGAGCTCGTTTAATAAGGCTTTTAAAAAATCAAAAGCTGTTTTTGAATACGTTTGAATAATATTGTAAATGTGTTTTATCTGCTTAGAAGAGATTTTAGAGAAAATTGGACTAAAATAATTTTTCTAAGAAATTCTTTTACAAAAAAGTAGAAGGGCTACTCAGGGGCGGATCGAGACCATTTTTCTTGTGGGGGTCAAAAAAGAGAATTTTAAACTGTTCACCCCACATGACCCCATGTGGGTTCTCCCCTGGGGCTACTGAACAAGCTCTTAGGTCAGCTTTTTCCAAATAACTCTTCTAACGATGCAAAATGCTTTCAAAAAATTATCTAAACATCTTCGAAAACAATTTCTAAATCTGCAAACGAGCTATCCACGGTCTCATTTAAGAGCTTAAATGACAGGGTTTAACAAATAATTTGTTTTGACAATGTAGATTTAGCATATTCCAGAGAAAGACAGAGACATAGATATATAATAATATTTGAGAGGATACAGGTGTGGGCATTTAATTGGAACAAAGAAACATGGGCAGGATTAATTGGTTTGAAGAGACAAAATTCATGCCAGCACAACCCATGTGCTTTTTCCTATGAATATTGAACAAAAAAACAGAAAATGAGACTCTTGCTGTTACACACACATATATTTTCCTGTTCTTATTAGGTGACAGCTATTGAATATTGTTAAATTTATTTGGACAATTGAAAAATACATTAATTCAATTTGTTTCACCACATGGATTCGCATCGCTTGACGTCATATTTAGGAATGTGTGGATAAAAATAAAAGTTTGATTCCGTGCAACACTCAAGGCTACATGCCACAAACAATCTTCTCCCGTTGCTTAGGCCTATAAGCTCGAAATAAGAAGCAAACATGCATGTTTATGGTAGAATGCTTCACAATACTGCATAAGATAACGTTATTACTGTACTCTTCGATAATATAGACTGCACTTCTAACTGTTGGCGACATTGCCATGAGATATGGAGAGAGAAGTACACACGATGCGTGACATTATATTTCGGATGCATTGACGAAAGCCTATTAAGCTCGAAATATACGACTAGTAGTGCTTAAAAATTAAAATGTGTTTGGCTCAACGATGATACATTTTTCGCTCTAAATAAATAACACCTTACGAATTTAGATGCGTGTACGATTTGAAATATGTAACTGTATCTAGAAACGTGGGTGGGGTAGACTTCAAACGTGCCTACGTAGCTTATAAACGTCCCTTTCTTTTTCTTCTTTTGAGAGGAACAGATTCTCCTTTTTGGCCTTTTTCCATTGAAATTGGATAAAATGCAGTGTTAACCACAAAAAGATGAACATGGCAAAATTATTGAAAATTGACTAAAACATGGTGGAATAATTAAAGGGCCACCCCCAATAATTGGTTGTTCATGGATTAAGTGTCGTTTGGCTGAATTTCTACTTCTTGTAAAANCTCTATGCACTGGCATTGACAAAATTGACCTTTATTTGACTGGTTACACTAGAGGAGGTTAAGATTTGGGGTTCCATCTTAAAATGTCAATCTTATTTTCTCATTAAAATGAAAAATATGACCGTTATTCATCACATCAACATTTAAATTCAAATTTTCTATCTCTTGCGTGGACCCCAATAGCGATTATATTTTTCATTCTCATTCTACAATAATTTGGCTCAAACATAGGCTTAATTTAAAAAATCTTTTGAGTTCGACAAAGCACTTCTCCAAATATGTTCGGAAGTGTCGGAAGTGACTTCTTACTATCATAATCAACTTTTAATTTTTCAAAAGTCATATCGAAAGAGCATAATGAACAAATTAGCTTAGCCACTAGTCGCGCCTCTCTTTGTTGCGGTTTCAAGTAGCTAACTTGGAGTTTGAAAGATTGCTAATTAAATTGAAGAAATGGGACAATTGACACCTAAATCGCTATCCATCCTATGGTTATGATATTTTTACCACGTGTTACTCACCTCGACAAGTGACATTTTTAAATTACTGAAGTGACATAGCCAAAATTGTCCACTTCTTAAAAATGCCACTTGTCAAGTTGAGTAACACTTGTTTACTCGGCAGATTTTCTATGGATATCATATTCACATTAGAAAAGTAAAGATTAAATTTCGAAATAATGTAAGTAGGAGAGTTAAAAGGATCGGACCTAGCTTGGACCGGATACTATAGTGGATCGGTATGGCTAGTCACGTCGCATTTTTTAATTAATTGTCTATATTGTTTAGACTTTTAAGGACAAATTACATTTTTAAACATGCAGGACGCATACTTGACTAGTAACTTTTTTCCTTCCCTCTTATTTATTATTATTTTATTTTTTTGGTGTAGAAAAATAGGGTCAGTTGTGGCCCAAGGACTACATCAGGGCACGCTGCAGCCCGATTTTACATGCTGAGACACTGCCCAAATTGACACCCGTAGTACTAGAATGTGATGGGTTGCGATGTTATTCTCATCAATTGCATCTAATCCAGATGGGCAATGATGAAACGGGCTTGGCCCAATTGCTGGAAATATTTTCAGGGAAAAATTTATTTCTCGTATTTTATCTTTACCCTATTTCAAAAATTACAAAACAACTTTCACATTTCAAAAATCAGATATTTTAACATAAAATTAACCCACCCCACTGCTCCGGTGACTATTTCGGCGAACGCTTAGGTGACCGTTCCTATTTCGGTGACTGCTTCGGCGACCGTTCCGATGACTGATCCGATTCCGACGACTCAGGTCACAACTCATGATTTTGTTCATAATCACAGGTTATTTTCTTTCTTTTTTTTTTTTTAATAAGGATCACGGGTTATTTTCAAATTATCACAGTACATGTTACAAAATATTTTTGCACATGGCTCAGATTAATATTTAGTCACAAATTATCGGATTTTAAGGTCACAGTTAATCCATTACGCGGTCACAATTAGTCCATTATGCGGTCTCAGTATGTCACGAAATACAATACAAATTCAAACAACACCGCCTCAGCTGCCTGCAAGCCGGCACCACCTCACCGTCAAACCGCTAATAAAAACAGCCTAAAAATTCCTTATATATTGAACTGAGAATGGCTGACCGTGAAGGTCGCGACAACACAAAGCACTTCCTCAATTTCCGGCAATGTATGGCGAAAGGTGGATGCTCCGATCTCTCACCTCTCACAACCGTACGCACAACGCAGAACACAACCACCACATGCACAACACCCAACCACAGCACCCCACCACCGCACCCACTATACATAGCAACCACCACCGCCACAATAGATCGAATAAAAAAAATCCCAAAAAATGAGGCAGCAGCAGCGACGACCACTGTATCTAGTCTTAGAGTGGAAGCCACCGGATGTTGGGAACAACGCCACTGGTGGTCTCGCAGCGACGCGAGGGCGACGCTGCCGTCGCGATGTTCACAGAAAGAGGAGATGAGGGGAGGGGATAGATGGAGGGGGAAATGAGGTTGCTGCAGGCGAAGGCGGTTGGGCGATTGGGTTGCTGCAGGCGAAGGCGGCGACGTCGGTTGAGAGAAACAGGGGTGAGTAGGGTTTGATAATTAAATAAATTTTAGGGGTGGGTGTATATAAGTTATTTTTTCTAATATTATTATTAATATTTAATATTTGTATCTATCTATAAAACATCTGACTTTTGAACATTAAAACTTAAAATTTGATTTTTGATTTTGGATCTTGAAAAGTAGGAGTCCATGTAATTTCCACATATTTTCAACCATAAAACATTGCCTAATAATTTAAGGAAACCGGCCCAAACCCAGCCCAATACATCGCCACATGTGCTGCTCTGGTCCCTTGATTTCATGGCTGATCTACCGTGAACGAGATGTGTATATATGGCATATGAGTGGTCATTTGAGCAATTAATTTCTTCATTTTGTTTCAATTTTGTGTGTCTGAAGCTTCTGGGTTTTTTCCTTCGTGCTTTTCTTCTCTTGATTCTCTCTTTCAATACTTAGTGTAGAGATTAAAACTTCTGATTTTAATCATCAATCTTTTTGATTGTGGTCTTTGTGATTCCTTGATTGAGAGTTTAGCGTGATAGATTGGCTGTGTAATCTTGAACCATTGAGTAACTACGTCGTGCAATTTCTTTAGGGTTTGTTGGTGTCTTTGTGGCTGTTTCTTTGTATAGAATGGTACAATGAGTTTTGTATTCTAAGCCCTAAATAATAATCGAATCCTCTTTGTGTTGGTGTTGGTGTTTGATCTTGTCTTTGTGAATGTTGGTTACTACTTCCGTTTGTGTTGGCTCTACAGAATGTTAAGGAAAGCATAGAGAAGTTTAATTATTATTTTTGTTTACTGCTAGTAAATGATATAAAGAAAGTGTTTTTAGCACCTTAATAATGTGTCGTGAATGTAGAACAATAACCTGCGTTCATAGAACCCTTACAGGTATTGCGACAGTACTTGTATAAGTGATTTTTTTTTTTTAATTGTTGAAACACAAAGCGACTCGTGTGATCTCTATAAAAAAATCCATGAAACTTTTTTGTACTCGTAGCATAACTTCGTGAGTTAACACACATCATCAAATTTGTTAAATCGTGGAAAAGTAGATGGTGAGTTAAGAGAAACTTAGGTATAAGTTTGATGACCATCTAT